TTTCAGAAAAATACTTTTACTCTCAAATATTGTTTTTTTTTTTTGCAATCAGAGTGAAAAAAAAATTCTCTCAAAAGTGGATTTCTCTCTCAAAATTTTTTTTTTACTCTCTAAAGACAAATATTTGCTCTTGATTCAGGATTTTTCTTTGATGTGTAAAACGGCAGTCCTGTATTCCAATTGGCCAGTTTTAAAAGAACTGACAGCTGATTGGTGATTTTAATTGTGTTCTAGATGAGCAGCGCTTTGTCTGGAACCTGGATGGGAGCTAATGGCTGTATTGTGTTTCTAAGAGTGTTATTGTGTATTTTCCACCAGTAGGTTCCATAACACAGACCCAAAGCCAGCCATCTCCTTCAGTTGCAGACAGCTCTGTCCAGCTTCACAACAGACTTTTGACCCCGCCCATCAGCACAGCCGTAAGCTCTCGTCCACATCCCAGGCGAAGCGCTGCTCATCTCCAACGCATCTAATATCACCGATTCTGTTGAGAGTCAATGACAAAATATTTCCTCTCAAAAAAAATTTTTCAATGTCAAATAACATGAATTTTTGCTATCAGTGTGAAAATATGTTCACTCCAAATTTTTTGTTTCACTTTTATGGTTATTTTCCCCTTTTAGATCACTTTTTTCTTCAATTTGATACAAAAATTAATTAACCTAAAAAATTCATGATAAAAAACATAAATAGAAGCTTAAAATGAAAAGAAATAAATCTGAATAATGTGTTTAAATTAATTAAGTGGCTAAATTGAAAAAAAACAAAACTTTTTAATAATGATCCAGTTTAATAAATAGGACTGTATTTTCCCTGTTCTGTAGTTGAAGAATCGGCTAAAAGGGTTAAAACTGAGGACATAAAACTGACAAAAAAGAGTCAGTGAGTCTTTAAACTCTTTTTTCTGCACAATATAGAAAAACTGAGGCTTTTTATTCCTAAATGACCATCAGTAGAAGGTGAACGCTATATATTTGAATAATTGTTTCAGATTCAAAACCCAGAGAGCTTTAAAACAGAAAACCCATCTTCCCAGAGACTCATCTGATGTTATATTTAAAGGCCACAAAATCAGCATCCCACTCACTGACAATTAGGCATCACCACAAGAGCTCCCCCAATGATATCAAACACTCATCCGGCTTCTTTTTCCAGCCCCAGAAGAGACATTTCCGTGTAATTAATTTGATCCCAAAACCAGTGGAAATAAGAGGACATGTGGGTTTTATTAGAGGCGGTTTATTTTGAGCCAGACAAAGGGATTGCTCGCTTCCAGAAACTTTCTGGACATAGAAAGAGCTGCCGATTCAGCTCCTGTCAAAAATTACTGAAATGTCGAAGCATTCCCAATTACATCTGGCCTGGAGTGAGATGCACATCAGCTCTCTGCCACTTCTTCAGTCCAAAAAAACTGAAATATCCGACAGACATTGGGTCTGTTTTGCAGATTGTTGAGCCATGTTTGGTAACAGCCAGGTATCACATCATTGTAGATATCCCATGTAATCCGCTTTTCTATCAGAGCTTCTCTATAATGCTGTACAGACACAGATGTATGCTGTCTGACTTTCTAAATGTAGTTCGCAGATGGAGCCGTGGACACATGCTGAGATTCTCCCAGCTTAATGTCAAAATGGAATTCCGGCCAATGCTGGATTATCCTGATTGATACAGGGGGGCAGGAGTCATCAGAGCAAAATGACTTATTTAGGATAAGTGTTAAAGTAGTGTACAATCCCTCCCAAAACTGATGGAGGGGGGTTCTCATACTTTCTGTCTTCTTTATAACTGAGTCTGTATCACTAAGTTTGTGTGTCTGTTAGACGTCTAAACCCTGCTGTCACTGAGGAGCTCCCGGAATAGAAGCAGCAGTTATGGCGCCTCACACAAGCTTTCTGGCCCAAACACAAACTTTGATGTCTTTTAATGAGATTATACATGTAGCAAATGATTGTAAAGTGGAAATAAAAGGATACATGATATGGTTTTAAAGATAAAATCTAAAATTATGAATAATCTGTAAAATTGTGTTAATAATTCTATTTAAGGATGACTCTGAATAAGATCTAGTGCTACATATTGGCTGTTTCTGAACATCAACCCTAACCACTAAATCCCTCAATCACTATATAGACAGGGGGTTATATAGTGAACTTTATAGTGATCTCATTAATTTACAGTTCGGACAGATGATCACTACTTTTTGCTCCCCGTTGGTCACGTAACTCTGCCTCACGGTGCCTACGCCATCTCCACCACAACAAATCCCATGGGGCTTTGTGAGGAGACTCTCACTTATCAATCTGGGATATATCTACTTGTCTAGTGACCATTGATGATCACTACTTCTGAAGGTGCATTGTGGGAAATTTTGAGTCCACTACTTTTTCATCCACTAGATGTTCGGACACTCGTTTTCAATGATTGCAATGATTGCATACTTTATTGTTGTAGTGAAGTGTGGCAGTTCTAGATCAAATTTACTGGGATGGGGCCAGTGTTTTTTTTTGTTTGTTTTGTTTTTGTTTATAGAGGCACATAACATATATATTAAAAAAAAAAAATTAAAAACAGTGCAGTTCATCCTCTATCCTCCAATATTTTAAGTGACCCAAAGAGTTACTTGTGGTTCTGGAGCTGCTGGTTTCAAATCTCTAATCTGGAAGCAGAAAACAGTGATTCAGTCTCAATACAGGTGAGGCTAAAAGTGCAGCACCTAATTGTTTTAATCACTGTTAAGGTAAACTAATAAATGTTATGGTTTCTGGGCCAGGAATATTATCCTGGTTTAGTATCTTATCTTCGGTACAGAGGCCATAACAGGGACTGGTCAGCCCCCTACCAAAAGCAGCCATACAAGCACATTTTCTACTTGACATAATGGCCGAATACATAAGGAACCCGGTCATATATATATATATATATATATATATATATATATATATATATATATATATATATATATATATATATATATATGCACTATATATTCCCACTCTATATATAGAGCATTATTATATAGTGGACTTTATAGTGAACTCAGTTAACTGACTATTTAGATCGATGATCACTGCTTTTTGCTCTATTGGTCACGTAACTTATCTTCCTCTGCATGATGCCTGGCTGCGCCATCTTTGTTATTAGTCACCACTATCGGGTAGTGACAGCAAGCCAAGGGGAATACAAATCCCATGATGCTTTGCGAGGAGAGCATGACCATGACCATGGATGATAACTACTTATCAAGGTGCATTGTGGGAAATTACACAATGTGGGAGTCCACTACTTTTTCATCCACTAGACGTTTGGACACAGCCTGAGTAGGTTCTGGCTAGCAGAGCGGGCCGAGGCTCTGGACAGGAGAACAGCAGGGAGGGGGTCAAGCGGAGACAAGAGAGGAATCTAAACCCAAATCTAATCAACCTTTCAATCTTTATTTAAATTAAATTACATTCAAAGATACTTTATTGACCTGAGAGGGAAATTAAATTAACTGGGTTTTTCTTCAACTATTTGTTGTACATGTTAATACCTGAAGGGTTTTTCTTGCCCTGTATCTAGAGAAGCCTTTGACTGAAGACACTTGACTTTTGAAGAGTAGTCTTTAATAAAGTTCTTTAAATATTAAAAAACAAATGTCAACAACCTCTTAGGAATATCTAGACAGGTCAGTGGGAAGGTTGTGAAAGTATTTACCATAGGGTTGGATTCCAAAGGTCTTAAATTGTTAATCAGGCCTAGTAATTAGGGCATTGTGCTTGAAATTCAGAGGTTCTGAGTTCAATCCCATCTCCTACAGACTGCCACTCTGGGTCCCTGAGCAAGATCCTTAACCCCACACTGCTCCCCCGGGCACCGCACAATGGCATCCCCCACTGCTACCAACGGGATGGGTTAAATGCAGAGAATGAATTTCCTTGCTTTGTACATGTAACAATGTAATGACAATAAAAAGGCTGAAAAAAAGAAGAATCGCGATGATTGAAATAAACATCAACTAATTTAGTAATGGATTTATTGTTATCAGGATTAATATCGACTCTTAAACATGCCATTAGCTAAGAAAACAACAAATTCTCCCATTTAATCCATCCCCTTGGGGTGCAGAGGTAAATTTCTCCAATCTGACATCAAAAACTTTTAAAAATAACCAAACATTTTACTTTCATGATGAAAAACAATGCTTTGTCCATCATTATTTTCCATCCAGAACTCCTTAAGTCTTCCGGATAGAGTGTTTTAGCCGTCTAATTAATACCCCAAAAAAAAAATAAACAGATTAATTGATTTTCTAAATATTCATTTGTTGCAGCCCTTCTTCCAGAGCAAAATACCAAGGATTGTAGATCCAAGCTTAGCTTCAGTGAATTACTGTTGAGCCATAACAATTGATCTTTAAAGTTTTAATAGGGAGAGAAATGTGCTAATTGCACCATACTCTGGACACAGTGGTATATGGTGGCAACATTATGCTGTGGGGATGCTTTTGACCAACAGAGGCAGGAAAGCTGGTCAGAGATGATGTGAATCTGGAAGGAGATAAACCAACAGTTATCATGGAAGAAAAGATGCAGAAAAGCAGAGGCTGAGTCAGAGGGTTTTTCTTTCTGCAGAATGGAAAACAAACAACAAGATCTAAATCCAATTTAGAATATTTGATTTTCTTTTACTTTTTACCTTCAGTCTAACCTATTTGAAAAAAAAAATTAGCAAACATTTAAATACATGTGCAAAGCTGGTAAAGACATACCCAAGGAGAGTTTCAGCAGTATTTACACAAAAAGGTGGTTATTTCTTAGCATGAACACAAAAGCATTCTAACTGATTTTTATCTGTAAAAATGTTTGCAAACCATATGTTAACATTATTTTACATCATATAAAATAGATGCTTTGAAAATTGTTGCTGTAAAGGGACATTAAAAAATAATTTTGCATGTAGAGTTTTCATTATGCTGTTATCATAAGACTTCTGAGCTTTTGCTTGTCTTGTTCTTTTAGGTGTGCGATCTGTCATTTAGCCTGAAGAAGATGCTCAGCAGACATAAGCTGACTCACAACCCCAACCGGCCCATGGCGGAGTGCCAGCTCTGCCACAAGAAGTTCACCCGGAACGACTACCTCAAAGTCCACATGGAGAATGTCCACGGGGAGACAGAGAGCTAAAGCCAATTACAAGAGCACAAATCAGATCCTTAAGATAAAGTTCTGCCTCGTGTTTTACGTAGCAGAAAAGTCTGAACATGCAGCGTGTAGAGATGGACATCAAGACAGGCATGTTAAAATTGAAACCAAGACTCTTTGTCTAATTTTTTTCCCCCATCATCCTGTTTCTTCATTATTTTTAATTTTTGAACAAACTCATTCCCATATGCTATATATGCCTCTGGAGCCGCTGAGTCTGCTCCCAGGAATGTCTTGCATTTCACATCCAATCCTCCAGACGTCTTAGCAGTATTGCTCTGTGTACCATTCCAACTGAGCCTGTTGTACCTCGATGTGTGTTTGTGGCCTGTTGCCAAGTGCTGAAGAAAACCAGCAAGCAGATTCCTTGTTAGGGTCCTTTTATCCTTCTACCCCAACACCTGCTCATAGAGAAGTCAAACTAATGGACAAAATCCATCCCCATCGTTTTGGGGGCTGTATTGTACAAGTGATGGAACTGGATTGTTGAATGGAGCTCTAAAATAAGGAAGATGCTGCATGATTTACTTTGGCTAAAAAAAATTTTTTCAGTTGCTTTTTTACCATAAAATTTGGAAAACAAAACTTTTTTATGATTTCAATTTGCAGCTTTTTCATTGTAAACATACTTGTTAGCGTAGCTAAAATTGGATCCAGGTGTTAAAAATATCTATTTTGGCATGTTCAATCTGGATTGGTTGATGGGATATTTAGGGTTAGAGAAACACAGTTGTTGGTTGTGAATTTGGGTTCAGTTTGTTACATGTTTTAGAAACCCTAAGCTACTGCTGAGAACAGGATCCCTATAGCATGATGCTGCCTTCACCATGCTTCGCACATGGTTAAACAGAGATGTGCAATTTAAATCTGATTTACACCTTGGCACCTTCTTTTTCCGTGTTCCTTACTTGTCCTATGGGATTAGCTTCCTTTTTTAATCTCCCACTGAGTCCAGTGGAAGATCCGATTTGTGATTTACACAACTAAAAACTGCCCTGTCAATAGATTTTGTTTGTCCACTGAGCTGATGTCATTTAGCACATTTCTGAGACTGAACAAGTGGATTTTACAGACTTATATATATTTTCTGTTCCCCTCAACAGTTAAGGACTACTTTGCTTTTTTTTAGTACATAAAATCCCACAAAAATGTCTTAAAGTTTGTTGTTTTCTGTGAAAAAATCTAAAAAGTTTATTAAGTATGTATAGTTGAGGAAGTGTTCTGTGTTCTCTGTCTGCTCTCAGCAGATTTGGTTTGAACGTCATGACTGGCTTAAGATGAATGGATTCTGGGTTCAAAAGATGTTTTTTTGGCCACATATTTGTGGACAAATGTTTTTTTCTCTTAAAGAACTAAAGAAGAACCAAACAACTATTTTTGTTTTCTCTTTAAACTTTATTTCGCTATAAATTTCCCAGGATGTTGTGCCTTATAAACTGTTTACATGGTTTTATGATAATCTTTGTTCAATACATTGTTTTATATATTTCATGAGAGTCTGTCTTCTTTTGCCATTATTTTTCCTCTTCCTTCCTCGTTCTGTACTCTCATGATTAATCCCCAGTTTTCCAGCTGTTTATTCTACATCTGGAAAATGTGGATTGTCATTTCACACTTTTGTGTTTTCAGATGTATGAAACCTCATCACCTACCAAACGTCCATTTCCCCCCACTTATTCTAATTATGTGTTTGTGAACTGTTGACATTGAAGGGGGAAATGGGGGAAAAATGGCTTTGAGAGTTGATTAAAAGCGTTAATTTCTCGTTAATCTAACCCCTATTCTTAGGCTGGCAGTCTGATGGGAGTGGAGGCTAATTAAGGCTCTTTTTTCCCTCTCTTTCTGAGACCACAGTCACCACTCGCCTGATCTGTAAAGCCACACACTAAAGAGCGCCTCTGATGGTTTCTCTCTGTGGATGCGGAGACTCTTTCTCACGTCCATCCCCCCACAGCAGCTCTTTTGGTATCTCCACTCTGAAATCTTTGAGAATCTCATGAGCAGTAAATTAATTGGGAAAGTTCTTCTCATCATACTGCCTGTTGTTCAAGCTTAATAAATCTGTGCATCGTTGCTCTTGACTTCCAAAAAACATCAACGATTATAGGATTATTTTTGTGTGACTGTTTGCTCAACAGCTAAATAATTTTTGCACCTCATGTTCAATTAAATCAGAGGAAATAGTCCTGGAACAGAAACTTCAGGATTTGTCCAAGTTAGCCTCGTCTCTCCAATCACAGGCAATCCCCCCACTAGATTTGGGTTCACCATTTGGCAATGAGGGCCGCAGCTTGCTGACCATGTTTCTGCCCAACTGCTGCTCTTTAGCAGTGAAACCTCCTGCTCATACTGATTATCTCTGAAGATTTGAGTGGCATTTATGATGCATCTTGCAAATAAATAGATGCAGGACTTTGCAACAGTAAATGGTTTTATTTGAATGTCACAATTATTAATGTCTCACCATTTTTCTTGGTCTCTGGGAAAAACAAGCTGATTCACTTTTGGGTAGATTTAGAAAAACTAACCTTGTTTTACTTATTGAATGACAGATATATGGAAATACAAAGCTACCAGAGGAATAAGTTAAGAATGGGTATGGTATAGTCCGACTTTTCACCATACAACCATTACACTATTAAAGATAACTTACTGCTGCACGGTGGAGCAGGTTGTAGCATTGTTGCCTTGCAGAAAGAAAATTTCTATTTAAAGAAAAATCATGTCTTAAAATCTGTTTTTTTTTTGTTATCTTTAATTCAATTCAGTTTATTTATATAGCGCCAATTCACAATACAAGTCATATCAAGGGACTTTACAGTTTAACCAGATCATACAGTCAAAGTGATTCAAAGTTTTCTATCTAAGGAAAACCAGTTGATTACATCAAATCATTGACTTAAATACAATGCCTCATCTTATCCAGGCCAGTTAATTATACGTCAGCTTGTGCACCTACATTGGGCCAATCATATATCAACAGTCATCTGTCAATCAGTTTTTTTCAATCATAGCAACTTCATATGTCTTAGCTAATATACGCAACGGTTGAAATAATAATCATTTCCTTTCCCATTGAGTTCCGTCCCAGTGTTCACGGGGATGGACGTCTGTGTCTTCAGCAGGCGTAGAGCTAACAGAACTGGCAGCGTTGAGAGGCAAGGGCTCAAACATGTACGGCTGGAAGCCTTCTACACCAAACCAAGCTTCTGCCACCCTGGCGTCCTTTTCCACAACATCTTCGTCCCCGCTTTCCTCCTCTAAATAAAAAATGTATGACAGAGGAGACTCATCCACGACCTCCAACACAAAACTCCTCTTGCATGTTTCCACTGTCCATAGCGTTCCTTGACAGTGTCGTTTCTAAGTGCTATTTGGTCCAATGTAATTTCCCATTGGGAACCTACTAGCACTAAGTTGCTAACTGGTTAGCAAAATACTTCCCAGAAACCGGCTACAATCAAACTTGCTTGCGAACCTTCCGCCACAACAATGTGATAGTCAACCAATCACATTCATTTTATTCACTCATGTACAGTCAGGCAGCACTCAGGATCATTTGGAAATGCAACGGTTGGAACAGCCGTTTCCCTACGACTTTAAGAACGTATAGGATACACTGTTTGATCGCCATACAGGCTGCTGCTACCGTTAGGCGACATGTCTAGAAATTTCTCAGCCTTAGTGGTGTAGCTTTTTTTAAATTTACATTTTATTTATTTTCCTGGAACATGACATTTCAAAACTTTAGACAGGTGCATCTAATAGGAGAACATGAAAATCTGTCTAAGTCTCAGAAAACATCAAGAAAGAACAAAAAAAGGGAAGTTGTGATGGAGACACTTAACAACCAGATAGCTTGGTACAACAAATAAGAATTGCGTTTGGGATTATATGGTTTTACACAAAGTCCAATATTGCAGGCTGTACACACTTAGCCCATTTTGACCAAATTCTATAAAAAAAGCTTTTTTTTTAATAATGAGAGAAAACATAATCTTTTACATTACATACATTTAATGCACAATAGCAAATCATTCTTCAATGGTAGCCATTTTTACGTTTCACATGATTTGACAGTAAAAAGACCAAAGAATTTTCTATCATTTCTATTCATATTTTGTTGTACAGCACACATATACACAACGTTTAAAGTGTATTTAAAAGGTATCATAATTGCAAAGACATGTTATGGGTGATTGTCTATGTCCCCCCAGAAATGTCCAGTAAAATGGAACCCTCAAATGATGGCTGCCCTGGTACTACAGCAGTGCAGCTTTTGTATGCATTCTATATAAAACATCCAGAGAGGAAACCATAGCACCTTAAGTCAGAGTATCTTCCTCATCCTTCTTAATCTCTGGAGGATATGCAAATGTTTAAGGGAGTATAACTTAGCTTTTTAGAGCCTGCTTTCTCTGTCAGTGCTCTGCCATCACTTGTTTAATATTAGTTAATTAGCATAATAATTCATTCAGGGGGCTTTCCTACTGACCTATTGTTGTCCATTCCAATCTCTCCTTTCTTAAACCCTCTGTGCATCCAAGCCTGCATGTGTCCGTCTTGATGGGTGTACCATGCCAAAGCTCCTAGTCAATGTGTTTCTAATTACATGTTTTTACTGGAAGCCCCAGTTTCCTGTGTTGCCTCCCCGTTTGTGAGTGTGGGCTAGACTGGGCTCCGACCAGCGTCCACAGAGCCGAACGCCGGCCCCGCCCACTGAGCAGGAGTATCATTACCACGCCAGTCCTGGTTTATGGTGAGCCACTGTCACGTTAGGAATTACCAAGACACGCTTGTCTGACCCCTTTGTTTGGCAGGCGTTGCGGGGCAACAGGTAGGTTTACCCCTCGATGGACCAGAGTAATATGGAATGTGTGCCCGGCGTTGAGTGCCATGTCGAAGGATTTCAATAATGTGGGACAGGGTGTGTTTAGGTATTCTGGGCTTTTACCATTTTTTTTTTTTTTTTTTTTTAGGACTGACAGACAGATCTGTCAAGGCCATATTATTTTGGAGACGGTGGCTGTGGGATACCTAAAAAGCTCTGAGTCTGATAAAGATATGATAATTAAATGTCTGAG